GATGTGTAGATGAAGTGCTTAGGGACATGATTTAGTGGGCATTGTAGTGTGGGGTTGACGGTTGGACTGGATGATCTTAGAAGTCTTTTCCAACCTTAATGATTCTATGATTCTAAGTTGCAAGAAGAAACTGTCACAAGGATAGATGACGATGCCATGTACTCACCGATTCAAATGCCATGGAGATCCACTGCACCTTCCCATCCTTCACCCCCACTGCCCCATGAGAGAGCTGTCCAGGCAGCAGGTTTGGCTCAGGGATGTTCTTGCACTCAGGGTGCAACATCTGCAGAAAGGAGGAGATGCTGTAACCTGGAGAGAAAGAAAGAGCAAGGGATGGAGGACAGGACAGGGAAAGGAAGCACATTGGAGCAAGGTGGGGAAAAAAAACCAACCAACCAAACAAACAAGAGAAAGTTGCAGGCCCCATTTGTCAGCAGCTGCTTCCCTCTTGCAACTCTGACTTGCCAAAGCCCTTGAGGTCTCAGCACCAGAGCCCTCAGCTGCTGCTAGCTTGAAAGGGTGCTCTGTGCCATCAGCACTGGACAGGACGCTACCACTGCTGTTTGTCCCCAGCCGTCGGGAAGCAGTACAAACAGCAAGCGCTGAGGAGCTGTCTGCCTGGCCTGGCAGGGGTTTTCTCCAGGCATGAGATTGGCTTTTGGCCTGAAGCCAATATACACTTCCTAGACTCAGCTCCACAGCCTTGTGACCTCTCAAGTTGGAAGAGACAGTCACTTGTTAGGTGTGAAGCCACAGGGGCAGTGAGTAACCTCATCACGAGATCAGGTGTGATTTGCTGGTTACTCAGGAGCTACTAAGAAGATATTTACTTGTCCAAAAGATTGAAAGTGTATCACAAGCAATACCCATGACTGGAAAGAACAGATGCAGTTCTGTTCTTATCTTCACCACATTAAATCCCAAAGAATATGCCCAGTGTCTTTGGAGTTAAAGAGACTATTTCTCTTTCTCATCTCCCAGAAAGCATGACCAGGGGCATGTTCTAGACGGGTAAAGCTGCCTTGGGAAGAAAAGGAGGCAGCAAGAAGCAGCCACCCTTTCTGGTTTGCTGTTGAGGACCCCAGCTCAAAAAAACACTGCTGCAAGTAGAGCTGCAGAACAGAGTTTGATCTTCTCGTCCCACTCGCTGTGTATTTCTCATCCCCAAAACAGTTGGCACAACACATGGAAGCATGAGGTGAATGGCCCATGGAGATGGAAGCTGTGACTTAAGCCAGTTGGAAACAGGCAGAGCTGTGCTACAGCCAGATCAGGAGAGCTGACTGCTGAGAGACACCTCTCCTCCCTGCACTGCCTGCATTTATCATCAACTGGTACCTCCCTTTCCTTTCCCTGCTTCATCAAGCTGGGATCTGAAAGTTTAAAAGCCCCTAGCAGCCACACTCCTCAGACTGGAGGGTGAGAACCAGCCTCCACCCAGGGACCCAGGATCTCCCCAAGGACTCTGTGGTTGGCGTTAGTCCTACCTACCAGAGGGCAGGCACTGAGCCCCTCCTGGCTTCACCAGCTCGGTGTTGCTGGCGATGGCTTTGCAGAGGCGGCACAGATTGCCAATCTCTTTGAAGAGGTCGAAGCTGTCATCATAGATAACGCTGCCCTTTCACAAGGAGACACAACAATAAGAGCACCACACGTGAGGCATACACACAGCAAATGGCACAAGAAGGCAGAAGCTGAGTCTTCTCCTGGTACACAGCCTGGGACTAGCTTATACAGACCACAGGTTATATGGTGGAAAAACTCAGACATCTTTGCCTCACCAGATAATCCAGGAAGAAACTACGTGCCTCCCCACTCCCCGCCCCCCAAAAAAAAAAAAAAAAAAAAAAAAAAATCCCACGAGAAAAGCAGACCAGGCAGTATGACAGAAGCACTGTTAAATAAATAGCCACCATGCCATGCCCAAACCCATTAGGGTCTGCCCCTAAGGAGCAGCTCGGAATCCCTAGCAGTGCCCAGCACGAAGCTCCAGCTTTCTGCCAACTCCACTGCCTGCATTTTGCACTGCCCCCTCCAGAGGAAACAGGCAAAAGCTGATTCTGCACAGTGCCCCCAAATCAGAAGGCAGGAAGAACAGCAGAAAGCTGAAGTGCATCTGCCAAGTGACCAGAGCTAAGCATAATTTTTCTAGGGAAAGGCTGTGAATGTGTCAAGGTATCACATCTGGGAGATAAGCTGCTCCTGGAAAAGTCACATTTAGTAACCTTTCCCCAGAGTAATTGATTTGTATTTTTTCATGTTAATATCTCATAACAAGATAAACAATTATAGAAGAATATCAGTTCCCTGGATCTTGAATTTGTAGTGAGATTTTCATACTGAGCTCAAGGTGGGTTTGCTTCTAAAATCCTCAGGAAAGCCAGATTTAGATTCAAAATTAGAAGGTTAGCTATTGCACTCAGAAAGGGATTTTCTGAAAAGTCTGAAGTGATTTCAGTAAGGGCTTCCTGATCTCCATTATTTGTGAATTCGCTAAAACAGAAGTGTACTTTTGGATTGTCACAATGCCACCACCATCTCTGCTATTCCATCTGTCTAGACCGCTGGACCACGCTGCCTTGGCTGTGGGGATTAACTAAACACCATCCAGGGAGACCGTCCTTCACTCATCAGCCCCGAGTGTGCCTGTCCAGCATGACAGAATGTGTGTACCATGTCTCCGATTACGTGGTTGTCCAGGCGTCTTGTGCGATTAACACCTCTGATACCAAACACTACAAACACCATGGCTCCCGTGTCTACCAGCGGCCGCACTGCTGGCTTCCCGCAGCCCGTGTTCATGCAAGGGTTAAATCCAGAAGTGGCCGATAGCTTTGCTTTGGGTGCTGCTGTCAAATACAGAAGAAAGGTTGGTTACCTCAGAAGGGGGCAAAAAAAGGTCTGACACTCTGGCGCAGACAGCCAGACATGGCTGAACAGGTCCTTATCAGCTTACCTTTCTCATTGGGAACATAAAGGATGCCTTTGGTGGGTCCATCTGGGCTAGAGCTGAGAAGACAGCCAGGAGGTGCTACACACACTCGGCCATGGTAAGGGGGCTTGTGCGACTGGGCAAAATACAGTTTCCTGTGCAGCAAAGAAAGTTTGTTATGGTGAATCAGAGGTAATAAAGATGTGTCCAATGCATTACACGGAAACAGATGTTCTCAGGGACAAAAGGAAAGGAAGAGGTGAGCAACTCCAGACCTGGATCCCTAGCTATTGCATATTCTGTGCTGCCTGTTCAGACCAAGAGTTCAGGTGGGTAAGGGCAAGACCAAGATCAGCAATGTCTTTTGGCCACCCAAAGAAGCCTTCAGTCACAGTCCTGCACCTGTCAAGCCTTTGACACATTAATGATGCTATAGGCCTGCAAAATAACTTTGCAAAGATAGGGCACATTTGCAGCAAAGCAAGTCCTAGGGCCATGGATGTCACCAACTGAGGGCAAGACTGGCACTGGACATTAGGCATCCCGTATCAGCCACTCAGCTGTGCTGGTTTTGCTGCCTGGCCTTGAGTTGGTTTTGGAAGGTTACCGTGTTCGCTGCTGCTCCTTGGCGGCCACGTAGAAACTGAAGTCGAACTTCCAGCCTCTCTTGGTGTCACAGGACAAGGTGGTCATCATCCACTTCCTGGGGCTCGTCTGCTTAAGCAGCCCTACTGTGGACACACAAGCTGTCAGCTTCCTGGTGAAGTTACCGAAAGGCACTCTATACACCTAAGCAATGGATTAATGAAAACAGACACTTAACTCCACAGGGTTGCAGCCTGTTGCACATTAGCATCACACACTCCCCTCCTCCCTGAGCACTGGCACAGCCACACAGAATGAGCACTGCAGGCACAAACCCAGCCAGCCCCCAGCCTGCCTCCTTCCCAGGGTTGGCCAGTGTGTGATGGGGCCCCTCACCACCCCCATTCTCTGTGGTCTAGGCTGAATGGTGGCTGCTCTGTCCAGGGTGAGGGACAGCTGAAAGCAAGTCCCCCTGGGGGTGTGTGTCCAATATGGCCTGTGTCTGTGGATGGACAGAAGGAGGTAGTGGGAATCCAGCTGTCTCAGTAGCAGTTTCTACTAGAATGAGCTCAGCCGATGATGCCAGGCCTCATCTGATCTCCACAGACACCCACACTTCTGCTCCCATTGCTGACACCAACAGATAAGTATTGTGGCACTGCCAGGCGTAATCTCTAACGATGCCAGGCACAATGCCCTCCGTGTTAGCTACCTTACTGCAATGCCCTGCAAATTTTATCCTGAGCTACCTAGGACCCTGTGGAGAAACAGGAGGAGGCTCTTGTGCTCACCTGTTGAGTGCTGCACTCTTGATAGAGGGGTCCAACATCCCTGGACTGACTCACCTGGAATGAAGGCACCTCCCCGTCTCCCGGTGACACCATCTGCCAGGGGGCAGGGACACTGGCATTGAGCGAGAATCTGTAGATGGCTGGCCTTCCCTTGCTTCTGGACTTGGAGATATACACGGTCCCCTGGAGATCTGAAGAAAACAGAGGGCATGAGGGTTAGTGGTACTTCTCAATCAGCAAATCCTACAGACATGGGCAGCAGCAAAGGAGGGTTCTTCTGGTCTGCTGTCTCCTCTGGGGCAGCAAGCACAGCCTCTGCCTTCTAGCAGCACAGCACACCTTTCAAAGGTTTTCACTGAGCTGCAGTAATTCCTGATGGCTTATTGATTCATGTCATCTCAGGACCTGGCCCAATAACTCTTTTATCCTCAAAATCCCTTGCAAAGCAGGGTGAATTTACTCTCCTCACAGCCTGCCAACAAGGTTGTGACACAGGACCGGGATGCAAAAGCTCTGAGCTCCTAGCCCTGTACTCAGACCAGGCAGACCAGAGGGGTTTGTCACTAGACTGTACTGTCACCTGGGTTATAGGACCATGTCCTAGAGGACAGTAGGCATTCAGGGGAAGGGGGATTGTAATGATGCCCCTTACATCCAGCAGCAAGCTAGGGCTCAGTGGGACAGGGTCTGAAGAGACTTGTTTCCCACCAGCTATTCAGAGATCATATGATTTAGTTTTTACCTGAGAGAGGGTCCTGGACCCAAATGTGGTCGCAGTCATCATGCCCCACTTACCTTGCTGCCCTGTATCACTTATGCTCCCTTTGCTTCCCCAAGTTGACCCTGAGCCCCTCTTCTTTTTTTCCAAGGATGTTCGGACGTTGTTCTGCAAACTGTGGGGCTTTTCCTGAAACAAACCTGTCCCACAAGGTTAGTCAGGGAGGAAAGAGTTAATGGCATGACAAGAGACCCACCAGCCCTGCGCACTCCACAGACTCTGCTATTGAACACCAAACCCTCAGAGCCACAGAACCCCAGCTGGTCACTGGCATGTGACCAGCACTTTTGAGTAAAAGTAGTCAATTTTCATGGACTATAAAGGAATTGCTCCAGCAGAAACACTCAGGCAGTTCCTGGCTAAAGGAGGAAATACTTTTCAAAATACTCCACTCCTACAGGCAACTCAACCATCCCACTCCCAAAGTGCGCCTCCCTTCAATGGGGTCCATCCAATGTCCAATGAGACATTCAAACAACGTCGGCCTCTACCTGATGTTTAGGCTCCTCCAGCCCAGGGCTTAGGCCAGGCTGCATCCCCCGTGGTCTGGGGACCAGCACTCTCACCTGAGCAGGTAATGCAGGAGATGCCTTCAGCACTCAGGTTGTATTTCAGGTCTAGCAGCACCTGGATGTTAGTGTCTGGCCGGAACAAGACTGGAGCACGGCTAGCTGGATGGAGGCGGCTAGCGAAGAATATGGACAGGAGCAAAACAAAGAGAAAGAGCCCTGCAAGGAGAAGCCCAGGTAAGTGTGTGGGACCCTACATGCATCTTGCACTTAGGACTTAGACAGCAGGGGTGTGGCAGAAAGATGGTATTTTCAACAGGAAAAAGGAACAGCCCCAAAACCACACTGGCAGCTGGGCTTTCTTGTAATGACCCCCATGCCTGGATAACCCCATCAGGACTTGCCATTTCAGATCTCAGTGAAAGGAGAGGGATGGAAAAGTCTTAGAGTTCCTCATGCAGTTCCCTTAGGGACTGAGTTAGAAGCCATCTATTATGTCCCTTTTCTCAATCTCTTGTCACTAAAAATCTAGGCTTGGGGACTGATTGAGATGCTGTCAAACCCTCTAAAATCCATGCAGATGGAATACCCCCCCCCCCTTCCTTACCCACAATCACCCATCTGCTCTTCACTGCAGACCACAGCACCCAGTGTTCCAGCAGCTCCTGCAGATGAGTTATCAAGTGACCCCGGTTGCTCTTCTCTGGAGGGAGCTGCAGATTTTCCGGCACCACAGATACCAAGGGGACATCCCCCATTTCCAGGGAGACTAGAAAGAGAGAGAAATCAAAGGCAGTCTCAGTGCTGAGTGTCATGAGTGTCTCTCTCAGTTTCTGCTCTCCTTTACAAAATCTGCAAGGTGCTGTACAACTCACTCAAGCTAAGGAGATGGAGTAAGACCCAGGCAGAGGCAGTGACTTGCCCAGGATGTCATAGAAAGCATCTTTTCCAAGTCACTGCCATGTGACAGCTACACTTCTAAATCCATAGTTCAGTCCAAAGCCTATGCTTCAGGCTATTCTTCCTTTGCCAGATCCCACTAACATTGTCCATATGGTCACAGGGACACTGCACGTTTCTTGGGCCAAGCAAAATTTGTCCCTGTCCCACTAAGTATGGCTTGCAGGTAATTACACACAGCTGACTGTTCCTGACTCCTATTTGATCTCTTTACCCCAGCTCAGGGATGCCTAAGGAACTGCCCTCTCGTCTACAGGTGAGAAGTGGGCACTTGCTGTAGCAGGGTCAAAGTGCGCCTGGCATGCTGTACAGCTGACCGACAAACCATGCTTGGTCACCAACTGGAACAAGCTGCTTTGCTTCTTCACAAGTTACCTGATGCCCAGGGGCCCCTGGAGAAAAGAATCCTGTTGTTTACTCTGCTCAAGGGAAGGGAAGGAGTTATTTCCATATATTACCATTGCATGTGGCTCTAGCATACTAAGGAGACAGCTCTTGCAGTGCCAAAGCTTAGTTGTCTGCCTATCAAAGGCAGCTCAGAGCCTACTCTGCAGGGAGGGGGTCTGCATACCGCTGTGGGATTGATGGGCTCCCAGCCATTGATCCATTTGCCTCCAGTTCCAGTTTGCTGCTAGACCTGAAGGCTACTCACTGCCCAGACCACTCCTGTTGTAGGTTTTAAAAGAAAGGAGATCCCAGCAAGTTTTAAAAGCCAAGTACAACAGAGCATGACCCCCGTAAGCACCCTTATCTTTGATCAGGGCTAGAAGGATTATATCCTGCTAATAAGAGATAGGGAATTTCTGGGCTCTTTTTCTAGATTGATTATGTGGTCAAAGGCAAGTCATTGCCCTCTTCTTGCTGTGACAGAGGACATGATCTGAGGAGGTGATGCTGGAGAATAATAAAGTGTTCTCTCGCCTGCTTCTCAAATGCAGCACTCTGAATGGCAGGGAAGAGGTGAAAACTCTTTACTCAAAGGTGAGCTGCCCTGGTGCTATGGATTAGATGTTTCATGGCTACATCCATGTTGCAATCAGCGATTCCAGCCAGAAAGTACAATCCACATTAGACCCAAAAGGATTAGCAAAGTAGTTAGAAAGCATGTATCAACACCCACTGAAGACCTCAAAGCAATTTACAACCATTAGTGAGTTCAGACTCCTACAACCTCCTGTGACAGCACCATCTCCAGCTTAAAAGTACGGAAACTGAGGCACGGACCAGTGACAGTGCAGGATGAACAGGGCAGTGTGGTCCCCCTGAAGGCACTACACAACAGGCACATACCGGGCTCCTCCTCCACACTGAGCAGTGGGATGTCATCATCGAGATAGGGAAGTGTCTCTCTGCCTACTCTGGACGTGGCCTCTGAAGCAATGAAGAGGTCTTCAGCCAGGTGCAAGGCACTCTTTTTGGTGCACTTCTGACTACAGCTGGATTGGAGCAGGGAAGGAGACAAAGGCATGAGTTTTAAGCCACATACCCTGCAAAGAGTTACCAGTTGGCTCCTTCAGTGACAAGGAGAGCAGCAACAGCCTGCTCCAATTACTTGGAAGGACAACAGGCAGTGCCATGAGCCATTTCCATTGCTAAGTGCTGAGAGGTCAGGGGCTGAGTTGCTAAGTGCTGAGCGCTCAGGGGCTGAGCTGCTACAGCAAAGCAGTAGCAGGCTGGGCTGGGTACCCAGAGCAGGGCTGAGCCATGAACACTGGGCGCTGAGTGACGGAACTTTCAGCAGTTCATCTCCCTGCTAATGAATTAAATCAGGCCAGGTCATCTGCACTGCTAAAGAGCAGGGGAAGGGGAAATGTGCTGACTTTCAAATACAAATCTGCATGCACTGCTTGTACTCATGGGCAGGAGCAATGTTGATCTGTCTGCCTCGCAGGGCCTGTGTCTCCACAGCTTGAGGATTTAGCTGTGCAATAAGTGTTCTGAGGACACAAATGGCTCCAATACTCTGTGGGATTCAACAAAGAGGTATGACTGGCACTGCAGAGTCTGGCTCCTGGGAGGAACCTGCGCATACACCAGAGGGAATAAGACTGGGAACTGGCCCTTCCATTGTGCCCCAATCTGGAATGGCAGAAGTTAAATTTCCTTTCTGTTAGAGACTAACAGGGAATGGCGAAGCCAAGCTGCCTGCGGGGGATGAGGATAACTGAGAAGGATGAGGATAACTGAGAGGATAGGGCAGGGATTTGCACACTGCCTTGGCCATGAGTTCCACAACAACTTTGCACTCACACAAGGAGGCTCCAGGGCTCACCTGGTTTGGCAGGAGCTCTCTAGTGGGGACACATAAAGGGTCCATATTCCAAGAGCAGCTGGCATGGTGAAGAGCACAGCTACCCAGCAGCAGGACACAATCAGCGACATGAAGAGTCCAAAGTCATGCACGGCTGGGATCTACATGAAGAGAGAGAACATGGAGTTGGGATCAACTGGGGCAGGAGACGTGAACAGACATCAAGAAAGAGATATCTGGAGGAACCTGAGAATAGCACATGCTGACCTCAGTCATGGTAGTCAGCAAACCTGGTAGGTACAGAGCTGAGCTGATCAATGGCACAGGAAATATTGCCTTGGATGCCGATACAGGGAGAGCGTCCACTGCCTTAGAGCAGGTAAGGGACAGCCCTCTAGGGCAAGCAAGTGCAGCATGCCACTGTGCTGGAGGAGAGGGCAGAAAGATGGTGCTGGCAGCTTCCCTCTCTATTAGGGCCTCTGGCAGAAACAGAAAGCCCCAAATCCCAAAGCTGCAGTATACCTGAGAGAAGATGTTGGCAGCATATGCTGCAGCCGTGGTCAGGGAAGTGAAGAAGGTGGCCTTCCCTGCTGTCTGGATAGTATGGATCATGCGAAGTCGCAGGTCCTTGAGGTGGGTGGCTTGGCGGTAGGTGTTGATGAAAACAAAAACATCATCAACCCCTGGGAAAAGAGGGGGAAGATTTTGATATTTTGCTCACAGTAGGGACACATGCTAAAAGTCTAATTTCTCCTCAACATCTCACCTGCAAATATTTCACTTACAGGTAATGGAGGGAAAGGGCTTGAAAATTCAATCTGCATTTGCCACCATCACCTTTCTCTATCCTGCAGGCAGGAGTTATGGCAAGGCAGCACAGGTAGGTTTTGAGTAAGGAGGTGCTTACCAATCCCCACAATGACAAAGGCAGCCACACCATTGAGTATACCCAGGTACTGGATCCCAAATACGACGTGGTACAGGAACAGAGCCACCAGGCAGCTTAGCCCAATACTGGCAATGCCAAAGAATGACAGGAACACTACAGGAGGAAAGAACATGGAAAAAATAGTACTGCTGGCTGCCCCCTGCGAGAACAGACACCTCCCACCTGCCCTGTCGGAATACTGGTTCCCAGGAGTGTGTTGGTGACAGAGAATAGCTCAGGGCTGCAAGAGTACTGCTTCCAGACCCCTTCCCATGAGGCCCATCCATGAAATTATATCAGCTTTATACCAGCATTAGTAAGATGGGAATTTGCATTTTATCCCTGTTCTTCTGTGAGCCTTCCCCCCATCCTGGCCACAGATCTCTGCTCTGGAGAACCAGACTCTCATGACCTTCTGCACGCTGCTGTGCCACAAAGTTAGGCTGGTGTCAGGGCATCAGAGCCTCTCCTGGGGCTTGCACAGACACAGGGAGTCACGGCATATTTGGCTTTGTGTGAGAGCAGGGCAGCCGTGACTGCAGCCTACCTGAGCAGGAGGTAAGGATGTAGACCAAGACAGCTATGCAGCTACTGCTGATGAAGGCCAGCAACATGTCATTGTTGAAGGTCCTCCTCACTTCATAGTCAAACAAATCCGTCCCTCCATACAGCACCTGGACTTTGCTAGGGTGGGAAGATATAAGGGAAGGAAGAGGAGTAGGCAGAGTTGAGTGTAAAGGGAGCAGAGCCAGGGGATTTAACAAAGCAGGGGATTTAACAAAGCACAATGTCTCCCCCAGAGCCAAAGGACGTCACTGCTCTAATAAACTTGGCAATTCTCTGAGGAAACAGCTCAGAGTGGTGAGAGCAGGTTCAACAAGGTTGCTGCTGGAGGTGAAGTTCACACACGAAGGGAGAAAAATAAAAGAGCACGTCTAATATTTTTAAAATTCCTCCAGTGCATGGTGGGTCTTTGGCACTAATAGACTTCTTGCTGTCAGCAAACAGCTCCTGAAGCCTCCAAAGCCAATTCCATCTGGAATCCTAATCATTGCTTATTATATTAAGCACAAAGGTAATAACCAGCAGATGCAGGCAGAGTGAGAGCTTATCAGAAACCGTATGATTTACCAGCTTCTGCTTCTGGAAGCAGGCTTTGAGCGGAAGTAATCCAAGATAATTTAACCAGGAGTACAATAACACTACACCATAGGAGGCTATCAGGAATCCAAGCTTCAGAACCGAGCCTTGGCCGCAATTCTCTTTCAGCTTCCCATAACTGCAACCCACTCTGCCAGCCCATTGTGACAACGCCCTGTGGCTGCCTGCTTTCAGGGCTGACAAGGGCTGGCTGCATTTCACTCTGCTTTTGACAACTTGTATCCCTTCATTCTGGGAGCTATTGAGATTCAGAGCACTAGAGAGCTGGAGACTGAGAAGGTACACTGGGACTCAATGCCTTCCCTCAGCTGTCTGGATACTGGGCTACTTTTTTAGCCCTTTTCACTCTATTTTACCATCTCCCTCTCACCAGCACTGAGCAAAGCCCTATTCAACCAAAGTCATACAGACCTGGCAGTAAAAAAAGCCTGCATTTCCTGAAACTTATCCTGCCCTGAAACTCCCCTCCCCATCTCTCTGTACAAAGAGCAAACACTTCTGGAAGGAATTACACTGGCATGAGCAAAAGCAGAATCAGATGCGCAGGCTGATGCCTTGAGTAAGGACCATTTCTCCCCCTGCATCAGACCAATTGGGGCCAAATTCAGACCAGGAAGGCAGAGAAGCAGCTCTGTTGGAGCCAGTGGAATTGGACTTGTGAGATGGAAGCAAACAGATCCAATGCCAGACAGGGGCTGAGTGGAAAGGCAGGCACTGAATTCAATTTTTGGGTCCCTTTCATTGTCTCTACTGATGTCTCTGGCGTGTTGCTGCAGTAGGAAGTGGCATTAAAGGGAAGCATATGAGTGGTTTTCTGCCATATGCTCCCCACCCTCATTCACAGCACTGTGCGTGAGCCCAACTTCAAAGGAGATGCTTTTTCTCCTTCGTCTGGAGCATTACACCATGGCCACTGTTTGAGACTGACCAGCAGTCTGAGCTGGCACACCAAGCCTTCTGTGCCTTCCAGGTGAGACTGAATGCTGCACGGCTATCGGAGCAGAGCAGGCATGTCTGCCCTGCGTAAACCTTAAGACAGAACTTTTACACCCTGAAGGGCCTATTCCATCTACTCCTTTAGTCCAACAGAAAGCACCATCTCTCCAACCTCTGCCTTTCCGTGCTCTCGCCCACTCCCAGCAAGGCACCTGCCCTATCTGCACAGACCCTCACCTTGTGGATTGCTTGGCCAGCATGGCCACGTAGGTGATGACAAAGTTCTGGAACTTGCGGCGCTGCTCCTCCCAGCGGTCCTCCACCGAGTAGTAGTTCGGCAGTGGTGCCCCAAAGAGGATTTCACTCCGCAGCAGGGAGCTTTTCATGTTCTCAGCAGACAAGCCCTCATCCACATACCAGTAGAATTCAGGGTGAGTCATGGCCAGCTCCAGGGACCCTGTGGGAAAAAGCAGTGCCACTTTTGTTAGGTCCTCCTTAGTTGACTTGGTAAGGCTCAGGGTCTAGTCTGACAAAGGGAAACTGGGAGTGATCCTGTCTTTCATCAGTGATGCTAACTGCTGTTGCCTTGCAGAGAGCGTGGGGGGCTGGGGAAAGCTGGATTGCAAAGACTCACGTTCCACTTCTGCTCTGTGACTCTGCTTGCGATATGGCCTACATGCAGTTCCCCATCAAGGACGCATCTTCCACCCAACTGTGATCTGAACTACAGCTCCCCCAAGCAGCAATGCACACAACATCCCCATCAATACTCCCACTGCTGGGTGCACTTAGTTGTCGTACATTGGGCCAATATTTGCTCCATTACACTGGGAAGCACAAGAGCCAAACAATGCCCATGGAAGATGAGGAATCCTGGCTCTGCTGTGACCTGGTATCTCTGCCATCCGATGGTGTGAGGGATGCAGAGATGGAGGCACTCAGCTAGTTCTGAGTAAGACACACGGCCTGTCTACCTCCAAAATCCAAGTTCCCTTGAGTTCATGCCAGAAAGACCCAGAAACCATGCTTGTTCCTGTTTTGGTAGCAGAACTGTTACTCACACTGGAGCAGATGGAGTTAATTTTTTGCCTGCTCCCTCTATGGCTCCTGGACAGCCATCATCTGCAGCCTGTGCTTGAGAGACAGATGGAGGCTTCATCCCACAGCCACATCGCACCCACAGACTCCTTATGATTCACCTCTCTTTCACCATCCAGAGCCTCTGCTCTGCCAGAAGGGCATAGTACAGGGTACAGAGCTGGGAGGAGGAGGCAGGGCCTTCCTCCTCCTCTCCATATAGAAGCCTTTCCAGTTGGTGACTCACAAGCTGCCTTTCAAGCTCCAGAGCAGCCCACAGACCTCTTTCATCTGCTCCATGGTGCAGGGAAGCTCATCTCTACTGTCTGTCCAAGACTTGACATTCCTCTAGTCAACCACAGTCTTTCACAGGGGACAAGGGTCAGTAGAAGGCATCCGTACAATGCAGAACTTCCCCTCATTTGTCCCCCTCGCTCACCTGTTGGGGCCTGTGTGACCCACAACTGGGGTTGCAGAGGCTTTGCTGAAAGGGTAGAAGAGTGGCCCTAGCGCAGAAAAGAAGATTCCTCTCAGCATCTTCCTCTCTGCACAAGGCAGTCACCCCTCTTAGCTGCACACCAGTAAGTGATTGCCTGAACTTGCAGGAGATGCATGCCTTAAACATGCCAGCCCTCACCCACGGCCCTCAGCTCACCTTGGATGTCAGCAAGGTCTTGTCCCATGCCATCATAGTAAATCTTCCCTCCTCTCTCAGTGGGGAAAAAGTAGGTCATGAGGGAGCTGGGAGGGGAGCAGTAGGAATAAGAGCCCAGAGGCAGGTCCTTCAAGACCTCGTGGGGCTTCCAGCAGAACTCCCGGAAGCGAGGGTGGTCCATGATCTTGCGCTCGACCTCATGGATGGTAACTAGGCGCTCAGTGGTGAAGATGTTGTTTTCAGAGTCCCCCCTAGCCAGAAAAATGAGCTCGATGCGCCAGTGGGCATGTGTCTGTGTGTTGGCGCTGATGTAAGTGCTGGAGTAGTCCCAGCGTGGGGCACCCCTCCCAACTCGGGAAGTCCGGTTTCCTGTGTTCAGGTGGGCATGGGGCTTGGGGGAACTCGTCCTGCCCTCTGGGGTGCTGCGTTTGACCCGCGTGCTGACCCCAAGACGGGAAGCATTGAGGTGAAGCTGCTGGAGCTGCTCAAAGATGAGCCTCTGCAGGGTTTCAGAGGTGAAGTCAGCCAGGTCCCGGCGGTTCCTCCCCCATGACCCAAACTGGGACTTGAGGGCCAAGGCAAGTGCATCAAAGCGCTGAGAGGACTCGTGGTTGCGGATCTCAAAAGCATTGTAAGAGATGTCAATATCCAGGGCTGGGTAGTGGAGGAACATGACAACAGCAAGCACAGCTGGGATGGCACAGCCCAGGAAAAGGATTAAGCCAGCACAGTACGGGTTGGTAAATATCCAGCCAACAATATTCCAGAAGCCAGACGTGGGCAGCGTAACACGCAGGGGCCTGACTCTGCATGGGCTTTTCCCACACAACAGAGCACCCTCCCGCCTCTTCCAGGAGCTGAAGGCTACCTCTTCATCTTCCTCATCCAGCCAGGCGTCCTGTAACAAGGGGTCATCCTCTGTGTCCATGTCCAGCGCCTGCACAAAGGGGTAGAGAAAAGCAGTCAGCAAGGCCCAGCACTGGGTGTCACCAGGCACAGCCATGATCCATAGCAGTTGCCAAAGGGTCTCAACAGCAGAGCCAGGGAGGGAGGCACACTCCGGTTCTCAGCCCTGTGCCCTCAGCAGCAAAGCATGACTCCTTTCAAACCCTACAGATTTGCTACAGCCACTGAAAGGACAGGCTCGCCATGGGGTATCCCACACCCTGCCTGGCAGAGGAACCTGAGAGGGGAGAAGTTCAAACTACAGTCCCAGAGCTTAGTGCTGTAGCAGAAGGGGGCTCTGCATGGCTCCAGGAACACCAGGCATGGAGATGACAGGGGATTCACAGTATGCTGCTCAGACTGCAGAAGCAGGAACATTTAATTAGCTAACCTGGTTCTCATGCCCAGGAACAGTTCATGCTACCAGATGAAAAATGCAAGGGACCATATCTTCCTCTCTTTAAAACTGACAATAGATTTTCCCCCAGCTATTTCCCCACGAAGCGTGCATGTGCGTGCACACGCAGAACCAGAAGCACATGCACCCGTGCCTGCAGACACACACATATGCATGTACTTGCACATACTGACCCCCATGGAGAACTCACTGTAACCCTGCTCTAGTCCCTGAAGAGCTATCCACCACCAGCGTGGGAAGGGAAAGGGCTGGACAGCCCTGCTTTCCTTCCACCCCTGCGGGATATTGTTTATGGAGTGAGTTTTCCCGGTTCCTATGGAAAAACCAGGAAGCAAAAGCAGTCACTGTTCCCATGGAATGACAAGGAGGAAACTCTCCCTGGTCAGCCCACACTTGGGCAGGGAAAGGGAGACTCCCCAGGAGGTGCTCTCCATTGCAGGGGGCTGCCAGCACACACAGGTTCTTAGACTTTCCCATGTGCCCCTCCTGGGTGTTGCAAGGAAGCCTCTCAAGCCAGGAAGCCACAGGTGGTAGTCCCTGAGAGCAAAGCCCAGAAAGCCCAGACCCTACAAGTGTCACTCCCTTTCCCGGCTCCCAGCAGCAAAGCCTGCAGCCCCCGCCACTGAATGAATGAACAGATTCAGTTCCTTGCTTGACCCTGATAGTTGCAAGCAATTCACACACAGGCCAGAAGCAATTTATGAGCTTTGCTCCTAACCAGTGTTTCTATTTTAACAGGACTTCTATCAGCAGGAAACTCTAGGTCCTCAGAAGACCTGGGAGCTGCCTGAACTTGGACCGAGACGAAAAGCAATGGGGCAGACATGCTCCCTGGCAGAAGAGGGATGTGTGAAGGAACAAGGGTCACAGCAATCTCCCTGGCTCTGGTCAGCCTGGGTGATGCCTGTGGGTTTGCTCACAGGGAGTTCATGGGAGCTACAGCAGCTCCCATGGGATTCACTCTGGTCTGGATAGCATCTGTGCTGGCAGGCTGGGCAGAATGCTCCCAGTGTTGCAGAGCCTGTGGAGAACAGGGAACCGCTGAGCTCCAGCCTCCCTGCTCCTGCCCACACCAAGGAAAGCACAAATGTTGATCAGTGGTTTTAATCTGCAACTGATATCGTCTCAAAACATCCCACCCTTCCTGTCAGTGTGAGAGCAGGGACTCTCCCACTCCCTCGCCATGGTTAGGCTCATGCAGCTGGCTCACCACCTCAGCCAGGCTGCAGAGAGCTATGCAGGAGGGCACGTGTAAGCCTGTGCTGAATCCTCCTCCAGCTCTGCAATTTCACAGTCCAAAAAACAGATGGGCACCACTGATGGCAGATGGCCACAGTTCCTCTTCTGCCAGACCTCCACATCCTCAGGAGGCTAAGAAATAGGGTGAGGAGAGGGCGGCTCACAAAATTCCGCTGTGTTGTTTCCCCCTTCACATGCAGGGCTGTTAGACAGCAAGCACAAAGCAAAGAGGGGGTCGTTTCAAGTCTCTGGAAAGGTTAGGAGAAATCTAGCTGGTTTTAGTCACCATTAAGATTTCTTTAATATTCAGGATGCATAATTCTAAACAGCCAGGGAGCATCTGAAAATTTCCCTGAACAGCCACGCATCACTGCATGAGCCTTGGGCCCTGGGGCAAGGCCAAGAACATACAAACAACACTGCCCAAGACACCTACCTACGCGCAGGTGGTCATCTGCCTCAACTTCACAGGCATGCATACCCATGTGCTCTTCTGTTGTTGCTTACAGAGAGCCTTACTTGCATCGTGACAGGGAGGAGGCTTTCCCCAAGTCCTTGAATCTGCATATAAATCCTCTTCCAGCTGCTCCTTACTGCAGTTTTGCCTTCTCTCCCACACTCCCAAACTCTCCCCACAGAGCAGCCATAATCCCATCAATGCTGACAAAGCAGTGCAGGGCAGCGACATCCCCTATGTGTCCAAAGCCTGCTGGCACCAGCCCCCCCCAAACACAGCACAGTGCCAGCCCCAGCTCACAGGTTGCCCCACGCTGCTCGCCTTTGCAGACAGACATCCTCAGCACATGCAAGCCTTTGGCCAGTGTACAATTCCCATCCGTCGCTGGGCTGACAAGTACTATCACCCTTCTGCTTCTAAGAGACAACCAAGCTACAACTTCAGCTCACGTTAGCAGTGCAGATTGGTGCTGCATGAATGTAGGTGCAAACCTCACTCATCCCATCTGGGCAGGTTGGTGTGTACATGCAATTACCTCCACTCCACCCAGCTGCCCTTTCTCCCGTTGACCTGGGCTCTCCTTCAACAGAATGGCGTTACTGCAAGACCTAATCAAGCATATGTATTGTCTCTTTAGAAAGAGAGGTAAAGAGCCATAATAATTTCCCATTTATCGAGCTACTGAGGAGAAGGAGGGAAAAGATTCTAATCCTGAAACAGAAGAGCCTGCGCGTGACAAGAAAGGGAAACGAGAGAGACTGAGATAGTAATAAGCCAGCAGAGAAAGGATCATACCATCTTCTTTTTTAACCAAGAGCTAAATCCTCAACTCAAGGAAGGGATCAGACCTCAGGCCCTCTGGCTCTTCCATCCACTCTCATGGTGACTGCAAAATCCAGCTTATAACAGATGGGCACCCATAATGTATGAAGGCCAACGCATGCTACCCTCTAGCTAAAGACTGGTACAAACTCTGATGCTGGTCTAAACCCCAGCACAGCAAATGCTGGAAAAGCCCCAAAATTACATGCACTCGCACGAGAACTGAATCAGGGCAGGATGAAGATTTGGTCCAGGCAGAAGGGCAAGGGCGGGGAAGGAGGCACGTGGGTTGTGCTGTCCCTGACGGTGACAGCCTCCCTCTGCATGCAGGGTAAGCACATGCGTGCATCCTGCCCTAGTTCCACCACAGCTCTGAACTCCCTTCAAAAGAGAGTTTACCACATGATTCAGCTGCAAAGCCAGACATAGCTCATTTAGCATTGCCCTTGGGACTCGCCTGGCTTTACCGCCTTTGTCAGATCCTGCCTGGGTCAGGATGAAAGCTTATGCAACCCAGAACATGGCAAACTGAATCGGCGGGGGAAACAAACCCTGAAATCAGCCAGAAGGGGAGTGAAATGCATTTTTTCTGCTTGAATTCTACTTGGGGGCTGGCATGTTTTCCCTCCACCACTTCCTGTACTACCCAGGGACTCCCAGCATTGAAGCATGGCCCAGTTACTTTTTCAATTCCAGGATATGCACAGTAGACCTAATCCTGCAGCCCTAATCAAAGCTCTGCCTCACTTCTGTGAAAGCTTAGCCTGCTCCAGGTTGGAAGGAGCAGTGGATATGAGCACTCCTAGGAGCCCTGGATCCGTTTCTATGGAGAAGAGGCACTGATTCAGCCTGTTGAGGTAGGCATTCAGATTTCTTGGGCTTCCCTCTGCCCCTTCCAAGGCAAACAGGCTTCCTCCTGGTTCAAAACCAGTCAGGACTCTGCAGGGTGGCAGAACCTCCTGTAAATCTGCTCCTGGCTCAGATTTAAGGTGCTGCTACAGGCATAGCATCCATTAAGTCAGAGAAAGGTAAAGGAAACTGCACAAAGTATTTAGCAAATAAATACTTGAAGTGAAAACCTCCACCACCACCCCACGGCAGGTCTGCCTCACAAAATACCCTCTGCTTCCTGAGTTGTGTGCTTGGCTACACAAAGCCAGATCTTGCAGGAACCTACGATGCCACATTATGGACAGCCCTGATCCAGACTGCAAGCAGGACACAAGAGCCACAGCTGCAGTCACCACGGGGTGCCTCATATCAGGGACCTCATCCCACTGTCCTGATGCTTTCAGGCTTTTCCACCAGGAACATAGAAGCACTGAATAGACGCATGGTGAGAAGGGCCTAGGCTGCCACCACACACCCAGTGAAGGACAGACCCCGAACCAGCCGCTTGATCAAAACGAGCTCCTCAAGCCTACCCACACAGCCTGCAGCAGCTCCTGCTTTGTCCATAGCCATGCAAAGGCAGACTGTGTGGCAGACGGTGCACACTGGACAGCCAGCTCACAGAGCAAGACAGGGGCAAAGCAAGGGGCAGGTCTCCCCACGGTACCCAACACAGGGAAGATGTGAGGTGTGGGGCCCTTTCCCTTCCCCACACTACCACGGTATGGATGAAGTTCAACAGCAGAGTTGCAGAGCTGTGCTGCACAGCTCTGCTCTGCAGAGCTGCCTACAGAGAGTATGCTGCGAAGTGGGGACAATCTCAAGCCTTTTGCCTAATGGCTGCATAGAAACCACAGAACCTGCATTCCTCTGGCAAAGCTGGCCTGCACAGTTCATGTCCAGCTCACCCACCTAACCTGGCGTCAGCACATGTTCATCTGCGCTGCCTCGTTCATTCAGCCAGCCAAGAACCCCTTGGGGATGGGGAAAGGGGAAGAGGGGAGACGCAAGCAAGCTGCTGACTCAGCAGCATAGCTGAGCTTGGAGGGACCTTGTAGAAAACTAACTGAGCTGGAAAGGGAGGGTAGGAGGGGGATTCAATTTGGGAAGGGAAGGAGGAGTCTGTAGTACAGTACATAAAAAACCCTCCTCCCTT